CGCGAAAGACCCACGAATGCACACGCAGCCTCGGCTCGCTCGCAAGGATTTTTAACGGTGACGAGGCGGCTGTGTACGTGCGTGTGTGTACGCGGCGATTTCAATGCGATACTTTCAGCCGTGGCTCCGATTCGACATATCTCGATCCGGTTCGCCCACGGTGGACCCGGAGCCACGTCGATGGGTATGAATATGCAACGATAACGCGCGCGATTTATTTATAAGTATGACGCGGGGATCGATCCCTCGAGGTGGCAGGCGTGAAAAATCGGCGTAATATTATCAAAACGCTGATGTTACGAAACCGGCCGATGGAAAGCGGCCCGCGCCGATATCCAACGCGCTCCAATCGATTAATCTTTCGGTTTTCGGACGTATTAAGAATAGGATAGGAACGAAATGGAACGAATTTTTATTGTTATTACACACGCGCGCACACACACACACACACACACATATATATGTGATAATGGATGTGATAATGGATGTAAGTGAAATTGTCGAGAAAAAAGGAGTTATTACAAGTTATACGCGGATAAGAAGAAATGGACGATGAAAAATTTTGAACGATTCCGAATCTGGTTATGGATTTAAGGCTGGTGGAGATCGTTTCAAGGTCACGTTACGTCGACGACGTATCGTATCGAATAAGAAATTAATAAACTGTTTTTAATAAAACGAGGAAACCTATTCCAACGCTTCAAACGTTTCCACGTAACTCTAATAATAAAAGATCGAATGATAAAAGAGTCCGTTCGAAGTGGTTCAGGGCGGCGAAACGTGTCCGCCTCCGATTTTTCCCCGTATTTTTCGCGCTATCGTATGAATTGTGGACCAGTCGGGCCGATCGGTTATCTCGGGAGTGCGCGCGCGTTCCAAGTTAATTCGACACGCGATAAATTAGATGGAACGAGATTGTTCCGAAACTATTCTCGATCCGCGAAAAATCCCCCCTCCCCTTTTTTTCGCGATCGAATTCGCGCGGAATGAAGGATTTTTTTTTGGGAGAATCTCTCGCGGCGGCGCGTGGTAAATCAACCGTCTCGAAATGGAATACGGCGATAAGTTAAGAGGGGCTCGTTAAAATCCAAGTAAGTTTGAGTTGAGTAACGCGTGTAACAGTGTGTTCCACATTTCATTGGATAATTTTATCGAGAAGTTGTTTGGCGAGAGTGAGAAGGATTAGTCGTATAGTTACACCTCGAATCGGAGAATTGCCAAGGACAGTAGCCATTTTCAGATGGAGGCGTTTGGGAATTACATTTGGGAATATCAACTCGACGAGCTCGGATAATTCTTTGATATTTTCTTCTTATTAGAATACGTTTGACACTGAAAAACTGAAACACCGTGTACGTGATAGCGGAACGAGAGAATTTCCACTCGAAGAGAAGTATCGAAGGAAAGATCGTAAGTGAAATCGTCAACGACCGAGTCGCCTCTATCGGAGAGTTGAACGCGTGGTCAAGAAGCAACGACTCAACTTCGGCCTACGCGTTCCCTCCGCCTTCTCTCCATCGCAAATTTCGAGGGGCGAAATTTTGCGATTCTGCTTCTTTTTTAATCAATTTGAATCGAAAGATCGCCATCCTGTTGTCGGATTGGAACGGATTTTTCATGGGAAAACGCGTCGAATTGCGAAGCGTGCAAGCGTTTTCTTTATTCGCAACTGCTTCAAATCGTTGGTTCGTCGTCTACGCAAGTAGAAACTTTCGACTTCGGAATCTTGTTCGAGACGGATGTCAACAGTGTTCGAACATAAGATGGTCTCCTCTTAGGAAACCAGGAGATATCGCTTTTTTAATCGACGGCGGGGGCCAATTAGCCGGCCATTACGAAATTCAGAGTTTGGTTCGGAGAAAATGTTGGCCGCCTCTTGGTCCTTCTTCTTTTCCTCGCGTGTAAAGACAAAAACAAGCTCGACCGCTGCTATAATGGAAAATAAGGCTCGTCGCGTGGGACGTTTCATTAATGAAGATGTCTCATTAAGCGGCTCCTCGACCGCGGCAAGTCTCGAGGTTATCGGCTGGCCACCGGCTGGAAACGAGGTCTTTCCTCGGCCGTATAATTTTGACATAATTTTCCATTACGAAACTCCGTGCATCTTTACGATGTTCTCGAATTTCGTTGACCTCTTTGCACCCACCACTCGCGATAATTACACTCGCGATCGTGTTCTTCGATTGCTTAAATTACCGATCCCGAACGTCTTCATCGGTTAGACGATTCTCGGAATTTTAAGGATTTTCGAGTGGAATCTCTCGCCTCCGTGAAATTCCGTTTCTTCTCCTCTTTCTTTTTGAAGAAGAAACGCGTTCCCCACAGCGTGGAACGTCGAAATTATTGCACCGTATGGGCACAATGTTTGGCATACGCGATAAAATGTCGTAACGAGCCTCTTACTCCCTTTGGAACACCAGTTGTGTTACTAGCGGAGGGGGAGAGAAAAAGAAGAGAAATTTCACGGATCGAGAACAAGCGTAATATCGAGTAATTAATTTCTCAAACAAAAATAAGAAAACGTCGTAGTACACCCGTCCTTATTAATCCGATAATAACAACGCGTTCGAAACCAAAACATTCCGCGAATATTTCCGCGAAACGATTAACACACATTTTGTAAACAGGAAATTTCGAGGAAGGAAGGAACAAAAGTTCGTGCGCAGTTAGTTTAACGTCGACCGTGGAACGAGCGTGATCGAGATAAATTTTATCGAAATTTTATATCCACATTCGAATCGATTTTAATTTAAATTACTCCCTCGAGTCGAATCTCTTCGAGTAACCACACCCGCCTCCTGCCGTCCACGTAACGGCGTCTCAGGAAGAGAGACAACTTAGAATTTCGAGAGGAGAGAGAGAGAGAGGCGAGAGAAGGTAAGGTATACTACTCAAATCGGCCCGCACCCTTCTGCCACCAGAATTTACGATTGTCCACGCGAAAGCGTAGGTAATCGTCGATGATATCACCGTTATAAATAGGCACGCCTCCTGTCTCCCGTATATTTATACCAGCGCGCACCGTACACCTACCTGTCCACGCGAATATTCCCTCGCGCGATTCCTTCTCCCCCTTTATTCCCCACTCACGCCGCTGGATGGAGCGTGGACGCTGCACACGCGTGCACACAGGTGTACAACCGCTCGAGGTGCCTCTCCTCCTGAATACCCGAGCTTGGAATTACGGGGGCAGCTGCCCACCGGGGAGCAAATTTTCACGCCGGGAAACGCCGTGTTCTGGATACCCGGCGATTTTATCCCCGATCGAGGGGGCGAGAACTCGCCTCGAGGGGGGAGAGTTCGTGCGATGCGCGCGCGTGTGTGTGTGTGTGTTGCGTGTGATGGAAGAGAAAATGTGAATAAAAGTGAATGAAATGTTAACGCGGAAGGCGATAGCCTCAACAGTTTTATTTCGATTCTTCGAATATAAATCTCTTTGATCTTATCTAGAAGTTGTATGTATGTGTGTATATGTACGTGTAGTTGAATTGGAAAAATTCGAGACGTAGGAAAAAAGTAAAGCGAATTTAAGGAATATAGTTTCGCTTCGTTTTTCTTCGCCAAACGCGATTTAGGTGTTAGGGCTTGCTGTATTTTTAGTCGATGGAAAAAATAAAAATTCAAAATGCCGAAGTGTCGTCGCGTATATAGCGGTCGCCCGATTATTCGGGGTTGGAGAAAAAGTAATTGCAGAAAAAGGCGGCCGATAAACGCGACGAAATGACGTTCTAAAGGCTTGCGGCCGGTGGTCCTCCTTTTAACGAGCCTCCATTTCAACCTACCCGCTGTTACGCGCCGCGATTCGAGCGGATCGGGCGCGGAACAAACGCGCCGCGGGCGTCCCCGCCTCGACGTATTTATACGTGTGCTCGATCGATCGTGCTCGCGTGCTGCGGGGTATAACGTATGCGGGGGGAAAAAGCGGCCGCGGCTCGTTTGCCGGCCGGTGAAATCAATTTTCGGCTACGTTCTTCGCTCGTCTCGTCTCGTCTCGTCTCGTCGCGTTGCGTGCACCTTCGGCCTCGATGAATTATCGCCGACCGTTGTGTCCACCTCGAATTTTACGCGATCTAACCTTCTCGCGTGACCATAGTTTGAATAAGCTCGATAAGATAAAAATTTTGTGAAGTTGTCGATCGAAAACGATATATATATTGTACCAAAAATGTATCGTGGTTTAAAGCAACGAGACTGCGTTATTTCCTTGAAATGGCGTTCGTATCGGTGTTAAATCGTTTCGTCCGCGGATAACTGCAACCTGGAGCGTCGCGCGGGCTGCCACGCATAATAACCGAGGACTCGAGACACCGATCGGAAACGAACGTCGTCGCACGGCGGACCGTTAGCCGTTTTCATCGGTTATTCCGGACATAGAGACCGGCACTTCCTCCTCCGCGCACGCTGGAGATTGATCGGGGGCGTGTACGTGCCCGCGATGCAACGGGAAGCTTTAACTGATATTTTTATCGCCATCGGTTGTCAACAGACGGGGAATAAACGACGATTTCTCGGCTCGAAGTCGTCTTAATCATCGTCCAATGAAAGCCGCGATGAATAACGAAGAATTAGGATTATTTTCATCGGTACAAAAGTTACGATTGTTGTTTTAAGACCAACCTATTTTTGATTTTAAATTTTTACGAATACTTCTTCTAAATGAACAATTTAACGCTCGTCGAATCCGCCTCGTCGCAACATGGGAAGAAAGAAGGAGCGGGGACACCTGGTTTCCTCGGTGGGTTACCACGAACGCGAAAAACGTTAATTCGGGCGGCCGATAAAATTCGCCGATCTTCCGTTGCAGATCGGCCGCCTCGCGACGACCCGTGGATAAAAACGTCTGGCCGTGGATCGCGAGGCGGAGGCGGAGAGAATCGCGATCGTGGACGAAGACAAGAAGCGGATAAGGGCCGCGGCGTTCTCGTTTTAAGGGTCGTAAAGCGCGGCGACAAGGGCAACAGGCGTGCAAAAAGGGAGCAATAAAATGTAAATGTACTCACATTCCTTGTTGCGATCCATGGCGTGTTGAAGCGACGAGTCGTCGACCTCCGCCTTCGGCGGCGACTGATTACCCTCGGCCATCTCAGCGCCTGATCCTGGAACACCCGCGGCCTTCCTTCCTGCCACGTCCGCCGCTTTGTCCTGCTGCGGCGAGGCCCTCGTCCCTTTCTTACCGTTTCCAGCGTCCCTGCGGGTCCCGAGAAACGAGCAAAACGTGCCGTTTTGCGAATTAATCTTTCATACGTTTCGATCGACGTCGAAAAATCGAACCTCGCCTTCGACCCGCCTTCGAATCCTTCTCTCCTCGTGCGGAGAACGAAGGGGGGGAGAGCCGGCAAAACGAGTGTCAATCGAGGCTGGCTCCATTGGCCGCGAGTTTTTGCCGATGATGAAGGAATGACGGATCAATCGACACTCGAACGGAATCGAATGGAACGTTTTCATCAGAAAGCGACGAAAACTCGCTCTCCTCCCTTCCTCCTTCGCGACGATCCTCCGAGTGACTGACCCCTTCCGACTCTCGGCAAGAAACTATCCCTTTTCGGGGGATATTGTCCGGTAGCTTCTCTCTCTCTCTCTCTCTCTCTCTCTTTCTCGAGGTTCTAATAGATATTTTTATCGAAGATTTTTTTAGGCGAAGCGGAATGTTTCAACTAGAAATCGAGGGTAGGTTCAACTCCTCGTTGTTCTCAATTTCGAATCGTCGTGTCAATATTCACGAATGTCGAATTAATTTTTGAAAACGCGTACAAATCTATACACTATGTATAGACAATTTGATAAAATTTAAAAAAATCAGTATACACTCGCGGTCAACGACAAAATTTCCACCATAAACTCTTCTCCAAATCCTTCCTCCGGTTAAAGAAAAATCGGCACGCAACCGCGACTCCCCTCCCCCCCCTCTCCGCCCCCCAAAAGATCGCGTGAACAGCCACTCGTCGTTTAATTTATCGCGAGAGAGGGCCGGTGACAAGCCGGTGTATCCGCACCCGTGCCGTGATTTTTCTCACGGTGTAACAAAAGTAGCCAATTAAAGTTTATCGGACGAGGGGAGACACGCGGACGCACGCGGAGGAGTAATTTCGAATTCTCCGGCAACTTTGTTACGACTCGCGCTATCTCCCCGCCTTTTTTAAGCGTTATTTACGTTTACCGCCGCGAATCTTCTCTCGAGGCATGATTGTATCCACAATTCTCACGTTCGCGAGATGATTTATCGGCATGTAACCATCGATACGCTTTATCTCGCGGAGGGAAAGGCGTTGGACAGCGTGAAATCGGGTCATTCGTATGAAATCTCGGCTGCGACGAGATAAGAGAAAAATGTCAAATTGTTGGTCGATGAGAGAAAGAGAGAAAGTTAAATCACTTAAATCACATTGTTAATCACGCGAAGATGTTGGTTTCTCTTACGACGCCACGTTTTTAATACGAAGATTGAACCCTTTGCACTCGTATGTCGCCGTACAATCGTCATCCCTTTATTATTATACATACATTTACTTTGGTAAATACATTAGCAAATATATGGTAAGCTTCTTGTAAATGTAAACACGAGTGCAAGGGGTTAAAAATTGTATTGGAGTAGCACACGTTAATGTATTGATTTATCGACACGACAAATACTTCTGCTTGGAGAAGTCGCGTTCAAGAATCGTTGGGAAAGATCGATTTACAAATAATCACCTCTCGTCTTTGGATTCTCGCCTGCTCGCCTCCTTCCTGTCCCTTTCCTTCTCCTTCAAGCAGTCCACCTTCTTCGCCTTGGGCTTGGACTTGGTGTCACCTTTGACGGCCTTGTGCTCGAGAACGGCGCTGGTGTCGGCTGCCACGATCCCCTCGGTGTTCAACTGTACACCGGAAGTACTCGACGAAGAGGAGGTCGAGGCACGGGTGTTGGTATAGTCCTATAGACCAGGCACGAGGAGGAGCGCATATACCCTCGTTACACATACGGGGAGGGGAGGAAAGGGAGCAGGCAGCTTACCTTAAACCACTCCGGATATATCGCGCTGATCGTGTCCAGAAGATCCTGATCGAGCTGAATCCTCCAGAACGGGGAGCCGCTGTCCAACCTGTGGCCAGACTCTGAAACCATCAAAGAGCCATCGAACGTTCTCGTATACAAGAAAAATCTTCTCTTATTAATATACGTATTTTTATCAATACTTTTTAACGACCATCACCACTTCATCTCTAATCCTATCTCCTTCGTCCACGAATCCCATCGATATCGTCCCCTCCCGCCTCCTCCCCCTCTTCCTCGACGAGCCCAAGTTTTTCGAGGCGAAAATTCGGATCGGCGACCTCGTCGATCAACCGAGGGAGGAGGTAGGGAGAGGCGATTAAATATAGGATTTAGAGCGTGCAAGCGTTTACGACCCACCGCGCGAAGGCTGACCGGTTCCTGGCCCCAACGAGTCATTCCCACCGCATAAGGGCTAATGGTACCCCCGGCGACCAATAGCCCCGAAGGCGTATCAAAACCTCACGGAATGCAGGGCCCCCTCTCCGTTTCTTTCGCGGATTCCACGGGATTCCCTGCCTAATTTAAACGTTCCTCCCCCTCTCCCCTCCTCCTCCAAGGGATCACCTCCTCGGCACAGACGAACCAGACGAAAGGAGACGGAAGGAGAAATCTGTCCGCCGGGGTTTCGTTTCCTCGGGCTGTGGGGCGGGAGGGAGGGAGGGGATGGAACACCTCGTTACGACGACATTCTACGAGACGGGACGAGACGCGTGCCCTGCCTTCGGAATGATCGAGCCACGGAATCGGGTGGTGGTCGGTGGGGAAGAGAGAGAGAGAGAGAGAGAGAGAGAGAGAGAGAGAGAGAGAGAGAGAGAGAG